TCTGGATCATATCACATCTGTAACAGCACCATGTGTGTTACAGTCTATCTGGATCATTCAATTTGACATGCTAATGTAAGAAAAGGTGTAGCTGGCTGCAGAGGTGCACACCTGTATCCTATCATATTTAGGTTATATAGGCTGCGGCAGGAAGATTTTGATTTGGAGGCCAATCTGAAGATACACAATAAAACTTTGCCTCAAAAAAAGAGAAAAAGGTAAGAAATAATTTTCTGTAGAAGTATTGTTTACCAAGTTTCCATTTTAACTGAAAAAAATTTGTGGTTCCTATTAAATACTTCCAGGTACATTTAGAACAGCTGGATTTCTACAACGAAATACAAACAGAATGAAATGAAACTAATGAGGTCTGCTAGTTTTCTTAAGGGATTGGAGGTGACTTTAGTTATTTAGTGAGGCTATTTACCTGTAGTCAGTTTCTTTAGTGACCACTGAAAACAACAACCTCAGTGCCTGCCACTTGACTAAAACCCACAATGTTATCTCAATTTAGTCATGCATGCAATAATCAAACAAAAAGAGGAAAATCTTTAGGGTGAGTTGGTACTAAATTAGCAGTAAAGTGAGGTCTTACCTCCAAGCTCTGGCAGGATGGCAATGTACGTTCCATAAAGAAGAGGCAATGCATCATGATTAATATGTAAATGAGGTAGATGAGGGATAAAATCATTGCCAACAAGAAATCCCATCAAAATCCAATCATCTATGATTTTTTCAATATCATACTTAAATGTGATCTTTTCCTATGACAAAATGGAGAATAAATTGAAATCCTATAGAAATTTCTGTATGTAAAAAGCTGAGGTCCATGGCTATATCAATACTTACTTTTAATGCTGAAAATTCATAATCAATATACTCTCTCATTAAAGACAAGTGTAGGAGGTGAAATGTCGTTTCTTCTGGTGCACATACCCTGCAATTAGTCAAGTGATCAAAACAGAGCGGTCCAACTTCAAAAGGAAGCAATGGCTAAGTAAAAATTATCATTAAGAGATAATTCTTATATTTAAAGCATGTAATTTATATAACTATATGAGAATGCCATCATAATGGGTGAAACATGATAAAGTCAAAATGATTGGTTTACATTATACTTTTGGTGGGAGAACTCATAAGGTCTAAATACACAATACATATAGAAACTAGTCATTGTAGGAAGTGTATAAAATTAGTAAGGGTGTGTGTATGTGTGTACATACACTTTTAAATTTATGGAATAAAGTTTATCTCTTGCATTGGATAGGACACTGTGTTGGCTTATGCTCTAAGTTTAGCTATAAAGAAGAATATTAGGGGACAGTAACATTTAAATAGATAATACATAAGCAAGATTTACGGCAAAATTCAAGGGTAGTTCAACATAAGAAACCAACATCATATAGCACATGAACAGAGTGAAGGGGAAAATTTTCTGTGACCATTTTACAGAAAAGGCATTTAGCAACATTAAACACTCTCCCATGCTAACATCTGAAATGCAAGAACTCAGGAGGCAGAGGCAGAGGCAGAAGGATTATGAGTTTGAGGCCAGCCTGGTGTACATAAGAGTTTTGGTAAGCCTGGCTTATAGAAAGAAACTGTGTTAAAATTAAGAGAGAGTGGGCTGGCAGGAGGCTCACTGGGCAAAGATACTTGCCATTAGGTCTGAAGACCTGAGTTTGATCTCCAGAGCCTCCTTCTACAGGTTGTCCTCTGACCTCCACACATGACACGGCATTGCATGTGTGTGTGCACACATTCCTATCTCTCTTTCCCTCTGTGTCTCTCCCTCTCTCTCACACACATACACACACACACACAAACAAACACAATGTAAAATATACTCTTAAAAAAAGAGAGAAAGAGCTATGGATAAATTTCCTTAATATAAGAAAGGTCATTTATGAAAACACATAATTAACATTATAGAGTGAAAACATTATTCCTAAGACCAGGAATAAGACAAGGATACCTACTTTACCACAGCTATTCAACACACCATAGCTATTCAACACTGCTCTTTAACTCCTAGCCAGGGCAATGAGGCAGGAAAGATAAAGAAATGGAATTAAAATTGGAAAGGGATAAGTACAATTTTATCTGCTTTCTGATGGTGTGATTCTATATACAGAAAACTCCACAGAATACATAAAAACATATTAGTGCTAATAAACAAACAAAACATCTACAGGGAACAAGATAGGTAGTACTTCTGTACACCATCAAAGGACAAACCAAAAGGAAATAAAGAAAATTATTCCAGGGTCTGAAGAGGAGGCTTAGAAGTTAAGAGGACCTGGGTTCAGTTCCCAGAACCCACATGGTGGTTCACAACCATCTGTAACTCTAGTTACAGGATCTGACATCTTCCTCTAGCTTTGGTGAGCACCACACATGCATGTGGTGTATGTACATATGTGCAAGCAAAACATGCACCTAAAATAAAATAAAAAATCTGAAAAACATGATTCCATATACAAATGGTATCCAAAAGAGTTAAAGAGTTAGAAATAAACTTAACCAAGGAACATATCAGAGAAACTTTAAAATATTTTTGAAAGAAATTAAAAGGAGACACAAAATGTATGCACATGGATTAAAAGGCTCAATATCAAGATGTTGTAAAAGATCTACACATTTCTTAGATCTTTCTTAAAGCTACCCCTATCAAAATCCCAATGACGATTTTCACAAAAATAGGAAAATCTATCCTTAAAAAAAATAAAAAAACCACCAAGCTTTAGAGACTATAAATATACAAAATAATCTTGAAAAAAGAATATAAGGGGCTGGAGAGATGGCTCAGTGGTTAAGAGCGCTGCCTGCCCTTCCAAAGGTCCCGAGTTCAGTTCCCAGCAACCACATGGTGGCGCACAACCATCTGTAATGAGATCTGGTGCCCTCTTCTGGCCTGCAGGCATACATGCAGACAGAATACTGTATACATAATAAATAAATTAAAAAAATATATAAGTTGGGGTTTCATTCTTCTTGATTTCAATGTTAATCACATTAAAATCTACATGAATACACCAGAAATAGTATGAAGACAGGTATATTAGACTAAGTATATTACTACAAAGAATAAAGTAGAAAATGCAAGAACCAAAACTTTGTGTACATGAGCAAATGATTTTCAATAAGGAACCAAGACGTTCAATAAGGAAAGGACAGTTTTCTCAACAAATAGTGATACAAAAACAAATATAAAGAACGGAGTTGGACTTGTACCTCATACTATATACAAATATTAATTCAAACGGATCAATGATCTAACTATGTAAGCTAAAACTACGTAACTCAGAGCAGAGCATGTCTCAGCAGCTGAGATTCAAGTCCAGCACTACAAAAATAACCAAAGCCCCAAACAGCAAAATAAACCCTCCACAAAACTTAAAGAATTAAACATTAGGGTAACCTTTATGACATTAGATTTGACAGTGTTTTCTTGGATACTACAGACATTAAAAGCATAGGCAATAAGAGAAAAAGGTAAACTGAACTACACCAAAGTCGGCATCCATGAGTTAGAGAAAATATCTGCAGGGCCCCCTGTAAGGGATTGCTAGCCATGCTTCATTTTCTTCCTTCTTCCAACATCTCATTTACCTTTGTGTTTTTTTCCCACCAAACCGAACTTCTTCTCTTAAGAGAGAAAAATGTGCCTCATGACTTGTTAATCCAAGCATGATCTGTTGAAAAATAATTATGAAATATTTCTAGTCTACCTTTGTTCATACCATTAGGTTTACAAAAGCAACTTCATAAAATTTCTATACAGAGAACAATTTTAAAGTCACAATGTGAAAATCAAAATCAAATATGCAGCTATCATAAAATGATCCAATTGCAGGATATGGGCGGAGTCAAGAGAGCACACTTTGGTAGAGCTATGCTCACCTTAGAGCCCAGGAGCCTGTGACTGACACCGCATCCTCCCTCCCACTCCTGAACACTCCTCCTTCCATACATCACAAAATGTCCTCTGGGTTTTCGCAAATTCCTACTACTTATAGGGATTAGAAATTAGAAGCAGCAACTTTTCCATGCTTCACAAATACAGAAGATACTTAGAGGTCAGGGTAACATTAATATGAAAATTCATTCCCAAATGGAAAAGGGCACTTTAATTTTCTCCTATGTTGTACTCCCTCGGTGACCTCAAAAGTCTAGTTAACACGTGAATCAATAGTAATACATATTGTTTCTTTAAATTCTTATTCAAATAACAAAACAAAATGAAACATTTATGAACCAATCATGAGATGTGGTTATTTACCTTAAGCAATTGTTATTATATGTGTAATAACGGCATTGTGGTTAAGTACCTTAAAAATTTATTCATAAAAACATTTCGAAAATATGTATTTATTAAGTAAAAACAGTGTATGGAATTTGCTTCAATAACTCATCCTGGTTGAAAAGAGGCAAATGACTACATTAAATTTAAATAAATTAATACTTTAAGAAATGGCGTACGTAGGCCTACTGTCTATGTGTTGCTTTCATTGGTTAATAAAGAAACTGCCTTGGCTTTTTGATAGGGCAGAATTCAGATAGGTGGAGTAGACTGAACAGAATGCTGGGAGAAAGAAAGCAGAGCCATGATCCCCCTTCCCAAGACGGACGCTGGCTAGACTCATGACAGTAAGCCACAACCTCATGGTGGCATACAGATTATTAGATATGGGTTAGTCAAGATGTGAGAGTTAGCCAATAAGAGGCTAGAACTAATGGGCCAGGCAGTGTTTAAATGAATACAGTTTCCATGTAATTATTTCGGGAGTACACTAGTCAGGGAGCCGGAATCCCAGCGGGAATGCAGCCCATTGCTCCTTTTGCAACACAGAAACTTGCCTGGTGTGATAACACATGCCTTATTCCCAGGACTTGGGAGGCAGTGACAGGCAGACCTCTGAGTTCGAGGCCAGCCTTGTATACAGATTGAGTTCCAGGACAGTCAGGGTTGCACACAAAAAACCCTGTCTTAAAAAACCAAACCAAACCAAACCTACCCAACCAAACAAACAAAAAACTTAAGGTAATTTAAGCATACAAAGGAGCTCATTATAGTAGCTTGCTTGTCTAGTTTTGGTTAATGAAGATTTCTCTGGTAGATATGGCTCCGCAGCTATTGTCTAGTTTTCGTTAATGAAGATTTCTCTGATAGATATGGCTCCGCAGCTAAAGAGAGCTTACCGCTCTTTTTTTTTTGCTCTTTTTTTTTAAACAATCTTTTTTTAAAAATTTTATTTTATATACCAATCCCAGTTCCCTCTCCCTCCCTTCCCCCCACTTTTCCCAACCTTTCCCTTTCTCCCACCCCACCCCACCCCCATTCACTCCTCAGAGAGAGTGAGGTCTCCCATGGGGAGTCAACAAAGTCTGTCACATCACTTGAGGCAGGACCAAGGCCCTCCTCCCTGTATCTAGGCTGAGCAAGGTACCCCTCCATAAGGGATGGGTTCCAAAAAGCCAGTTTATGTACTAGGGATAAATACTGTTTGAGATGGCTCAGCTATTTGAGGTTAAGAGCACTGGTCCTGAGTTCAATTCCCAGCAACTGCAAGGTGGTTCACAATCACCTGTAATGGGATCTAGAGCTTACTGTTCTTGCAGAGGACCCAAGTTTAGTTCCAGGTACCTAGAGGGCAGCTCATGACTATCCTTAACTCCAGTTCCAGGAGATCCAATGCACTCCTCAGGCACCAGATGATACAAATACATACACATACATGATACACATACATACATGCAGGCAAAATACTCATAAAAGGTGTTTGAAGCATGGAGCTGTGAATTAGGAGGCTTTCATGGCCCTAGGTAAAACAGTCATCTTTCCTTGGCTTCTGCATTTCCTTTTCAGCACCATACTCTTAGAACTAGGGTTGCTCAGATTTGTAGACTATACCGACATTCAGTTGTTTATAGTCCATGACAAACAAACAAAGCTTATCTCCCCAATTCTATAGAACTTAGATAATGGCAAATGTAGCTATCATTGCCTTCTGTATTCAATGTACAGCCAGTAAACTTCCTGCATTAAAAACTCCATCTCTTATAATTTAGTTCTACGACACAAACTTGTAACAACAGGTAACTGTTATACCTACCAAGTCAGCATCTAAGCCATAAAGACAATGTCTGGTGTTTGGATCATGATCTGGCTTTGCTTTCTCGGATCTGATAAATTCCATGATTTTATGCTCTCCTTCTCCAGGAGTCTAAAAACAATATTTAAAAAAGAAGGTGGTAATATACTATGCTTCAAACTTTTTTTAAAAATTAAACTTTAAAACATTTTTTAGATGAAAAAAGATGCTAACCTCATGGCCTGAGAAGTAGATGGTAACACCTTGCCATGATTTGTCAGTGGAAATTTTCATATTTACAAAATACTTCAGATGCTCATGCAACCTGGCCATGAATTCAGTCCCTATAAACAAAAAATTTTAAAAAGGTTAATCTGAGAAAGATGAAAATAGCAAAAACAGTTAAGTTCCCAGTAACAACATATACTCAGCATCTTCAAAACAAGCCCAAAGCTCTCTTGTTTATCCTACAAGCAAGCAACTAAACGTGTTCCCAGCAAGTTTCTCCAATGCTTCAAAAGTCACCAGCAATCTCAAATGGAGTCAGTGTCACAAAAGCAGTCATGAGTTTTACATCATCTACAGACTGTGCTTTAAGTATTTTACCTAAGATCAGTATGAACTCTTAACTCCAACTTTCTACATTTTTGCTGGATTCCTAAGCATATTATTAATTTTATTTATTATATTATGTCTGTGTATGGTGTGTAATGTGCGAGGGTAAGCATATGCATGCCATGGCACACATGTGGAGGACTGAGGGCAGTACTTTGTAGTTCCCTCCACCCTTCGTCCATGGGCTCTGGGCTTTGAGCACAGGTCAGCTTGTGTGGAAAGTGCTTTGCTTTTGCCCATTGAATCGTCTTTCTAGATCCTCAAGTATCTTTATAAGGCATGTAATTTTAATTAGATTGCCAACAATAACTATTATTGTTCATTTATATTATTAATAACTTGTTTTCTTTTTTTAAAATGGTGTCTATAGTCCAGGTTAGTCTTAAACTCACTATAAGCTATGGATAACCCCAAACTTCTGATCTTTTGCCTTTATTTCACAAGTCCTGGGATTATAGGAACGCACAACCACACCTGATTCATGTTATGCTGGGGAATGAACTCAGGATCATGTGAGCAAAGGGTGGACTCTACCAAGTAAACTATATCCCACTCCAACAACTACTAGTATGTGTATAATATGAGTCATGCAGAAGCAAGGGTTTAGATGAAGTGCAAAGGACAACCTGTGATTGGCTGGTTCTTCCTTATATACCATCCACCCTGACTTTTTATTTTTTGGTCAGGGTCTCTATGTATCCCTGGCTGCCTTAGAACCTGATATGTAGATCAGGATGGCCTCAAATTCACAGAGATTCTACTACCTCTGCCTCCCAAGTATTGGAATTAAAGCTGTGTGCCACTGTGCGCAGTCACCTTGTCTCTTGAGACACAGATTCTCAATGAAACCTGGTACTCAATAATTAAGCAAAACAGGTTGACCAGTGAGCCCCATGAATCTCTCCAACTCACCTCCCCAGCAAGATTACAAATCTGCACCACCATACCCAGCTTCTTATGTGGGTGCTGGGGAGTGAATTCAGGGCCTTATATTTGTGTGATTAAGTACTCTACTGACTGACTTATCTCTCAGTTATCTCACACTCACACTCACACACACACACACACACAAACATATGTGCAGACAGAGCACTATATATATATATATATATACATATATATATATACATATATATATATGCGTGCAGTACCTTGGAAGCCAAAAGAGGGTATCTGATCCTCTAGAACTGGAGTTATAGATAGCTCTAAATTACCATGTGGATGCTGGGAATTGAACCCAAGTCCTCTGCAAGAACTATCAGTACTTTTAACCACTGAGCCACCTCTGTAGCCCCAATACCTACCTACTATTCTTAACATGAAAAATTATTTTAATATGGAAAGTGTGAATATACATGATTATGTCATAAAAAATCTCAAGATGATCAACAGTCAAAGGCAATACTATCTTAAACTATATCCAGGAGAAACTGCTTATTAAATTGAGCAATGTGTATGTAAAACAACAACAACAACAAATCACTAGTTTATATGAAATTTAAGAACTTCCATTTAAGATTTCTGTTCAAAATAAATGACTATAAAGATGCTAGTCAACTCCCTCAAGCGTATCAAGTAAGGTGATGTATATAAACAAATTACTAATAAATTACTAATAATTTTTATATTTATGCATTTATTTTATTTGTGTGTGTCTAGGTCAGAAGATAATTTGAGGAGTTGGTTCTTTCTTTCAGCATGCAGGTCCTGGGACTTAAGGATGGAGAGCAACTGCCTGTATCTGCTGAGCCACTTCACTGGCCCTATTTTCTTAAAGTCATAAAAATCCTAGATTCCTTTGGGAGATAGAGGAATAAACTCTCTGGATTAAAAGAATGGGTTTCTTATCCTGAAACCAATAGGTAGATATAGATACTTATCTATTTGATACCAGTAACTGACCAGAATAAACTGAAAGCCCCTGTAAGTTCCTTCTAGGTCAGGTCAGGAACTCTACGTAGCTGGCAATGTCCTGTCTGTATCTGCTTATCAGCACCTGAAAACACTACAGTGGATCTTTATAGGAACCTTCACAACCAACATGAGATCATCTCCTGAGTAGACAAAAATGCAAAAATATGGCTAACGAAAGCCTAAGGGCAAAGAGTCTAAAAACAAAAACACATTAGAAAAATGTTCAATTTCTATATTATGTCTTTAGAATATCTTTCAGTTTACCTGGCGTGATACAGTTAGAATCAAATCTGGCTTCTGTAGGAAGCGTTTCTCCCTTTTCAATTGCTTTTTTAATTTTGTCTTCTGCCTCCTTGGCTGACCTTAAAAGTCAAAGAGAAAAAATATCTTACATTTTGTAAAAAAAAAAAAAATGTATCACACAACTATTGCTTAGAAGATTTTTACATAAAACACTAATTTGTCAGTCTTAAGGTTCAAAACTATATAATTTTAAAGAGTAATTATAATAGAAATGAATAAACCTAGGAATTCTTTCTTTTAGTTACAAAATTGAGGCTTTTTTAAATATGAAGACTACAGAAGTTGGACATTAAAATAGTAAAAAGCACACAAAACGCTACAACACTTAAGAAATTCTAACATAAATATATAGCAAATTTATTCCAGAAACAAGGTCAAAGGCTTTAAGTGTTAATTGTGTCTGCTATATCTAATTAAACCATTTAATGATTTTAATAATTTTCCTAATCATCAATGATATGAGTAGATAAAATATAACAAAAATGATGCCAGGGTTTAAAGATTATATTCTACAGGGGAGGGAATATTGAATAGCCATGTTTAATCTAGTTGCAATACAGAAACAACTATTAAAATAATCTAAGTAAAGATAATGACACTCTAAGCTGAGATACTAGAGTCTAAAAAGATGACAAAAAGAAGTATAACTCAATCATAGACATCAGGAATAAAGACACAGAAGGAGTTCAAACGACTCTTGGGCTTTGGGTGGGGCAGTTAATCACACAGTATGGAAGAAGGAAAAAGAAAAAAAAGAGTTGCTTTGTGGAGGATGAATTCAGTTCTGAAAATGGGAAGTCTTCTGGTATCTAGGTACCTAAAAGGAGACATGTGTTTCAATAGAAAAGGAACTTGGGAGTGAGAAAAATATCATGAAGATAAAATTGGGAGTCATTAGTAGAAACATAGTAACCCAAGTCATTAGATGTGATCACTCTGGCTGAGAGTCAAGGTAATTAAAATGGTAATTTAAGAAAAAAAGAAGCAGAGAAAGGGAAGATGACAAAGGTCCAACAGGACACAAACAGAGCAAAGCTACATGAAGGTCAAGGAAAGAAATTACGGAAAGAAAGAAGGATCAGTGTGGGTGGAAGAAGCAATGCAGACTCAGGCATGGATTAGGACATAAGCCTGTGATCTTGTAAGGAAATTTTAGTGGCACAGTATGGATAAAAACCAGACTCAGAGAGAAGACATCAAGCATTAAGGTATGAAGCAGATGGGGCACTTTCTAGGAAATATGGGTGACTTTTGGTGACAGCCTAGCATTTAATATACGGTTGTGGTAGTTCCAATGGCTTGATTGGTCCTCAATCCCCAGCCAGAAGTCTGTACTTCTGATACTAAAAAGGTTATGAAGTTAAAAATAAAGCCGGAAGGCCTCTCTGAAGTTAAGTTTCTAGAAATGAGTTGATTTTTGTTAGTTAGAAGGTGGGAGGAAGTCTGATGATACCAGCATGTCAGCTGAGTCACTAGGGCTGTTGGGGGTAAGGGCTCAGCAATGATGGAAGAGTGACAAGAGCTGATACCAACACTCAGTAACATTTTAGGTACCGAGAAGCAAAGAGTAGGGTATCCATTTTGTCTAATGTAGATCTAGAAGACAGAGCTAAGATACACTGACACCTTCTGGTGGCTGAACTCTAAGGAGTGGCTTTGCACTCATGGAAATATCCCTGTCTGTGCTCACAAATATTGGGATAAAGGCCTGAACCATCAGCATCATAATCTGAGTTTTTAGGCTAGTGGTTCCCTAAAACTAGTTAATAAATACCATGTATTGATACCTAGTATAATTTTCCAATGACTAGAGATTCTGATTAGGTCTTTAGGTAGTCCTTAGAAATTTAAATTTTGGTTTAAAAAAGTCATTGCATTTAAAGATCCTAGTATTTTCAATATTTTTTAGACTTTTTTTGGTTTGTTTGTTTTAGTAGTTAAATCAATGCTCTGCCATCCTGTCCTTAGTCTCACTGGAAGATTTCTTCAAGACTGTGTCTCAACTTTCTTGACAACATCCACATTTGATGCATGAATATTTCTATCACTCTTTGTTGTTTTTGTTGTTTTGTTTTTTGATTTTTCGAGACAGGGCTTCTCTGGAACTCACAGAAATTCGCCTGCCTCCCAAGTGCTGGGATTAAAGACGTGCATCACTATATCATTTTTTAATTCTGTCATTATGATTAAGCCTTTCATTATGCTAACAACTCATCACACTCTGAACTTAGAAATCCTCCAAACAGGAATAGAGCCTGACTTCTCTGTTACTCAGATATACTCGACACATCCAGGAGTTTGATTTTAAGACTCTTTATCTCTGACCCTTTTATTTCTACAAATGGTGCTGATAATGCCAAGTCCCTAACTGAACTCTCTTCCCTATCCCAACAATCACCTTCTAATCATTTGCCTTACTGCTCAATTAGGGCTCATATTTATGCAGAATCGGCATCTAGACTAGGTCTGGTCATTCAATAGTTTGTTGACTCACTGTCATTAGAAGGGCCTCCCGCACACTCCGTGGTGACTAAACTGAGGTGGGTCACCACAGGTGTTCTGCTCCCCTTCTACTACCTTGGAACTATCAAAGCAAAGTTTGAAAACCTGTACCTGAGAACAGAATGAACTTTCCATGAAGCCCAACAGAAGCTTTGAGATATAATTCATGAGAATTACTAGTTTATGACTTGACTAGCCAAATATGCTAATAAGTATAGAGTACACCGATTACTTTGAAGATTTAAATAGAAAACAAATATGAATGGAAGATGCACTGTATTATGTCACTTGTTTTAAATGATTTACCTAAAACGTCTTCCACGTTGCTGGTTCATTTTTGCTCGAGGAGCCACACCATCAACAGCCATAAAGAACACTTTCCTAGGTTTAATAATTCGAAATAACACCTCCAAGTAGTGAAAAATGTCAGTAAAGATTTTGTCATCTGAAATTCTGAAGTGAACATCATCATCATTAGGATGGGAACACTGATGAATAATTCCATTCATATCCAGATACAAGTTATCAAATTCTGGAATCTAAAAAGCAAACAAACAAAGAAAACAAAACTCCAGGTTATTATTAATTATTATAACTATTTTAAAGCCTGGCAAAAGTGATTCTTCAATGGTTCAAAGTGAAAACAAAACAAAACAAAAAACCAAACAGGATGATGTAATGTCTCCTGATTAGAAAAACTTGAGGGGCCTCTCCCAGGGGACCCAAGTTTGGATCCTGGCACTTTCAATCAGTCTGTGACAACCAACTGTGTCTCCAGTCCTAGGGTATCCAATGCCTTCTTCTGGTCTCCTCAGGTACTACATGTATGTGCACAAACATGCAGATACACATAACATAAATATACATACAAAATAAAAAATAAATCTTAAAAAAGTAAGTAAACAATCATTGTTGAATAAAGTAAGCAAAGGAAAGTAAACAGGAGCAACTAGTAATGCAAAAAGAAATTGTGTAGTTATATAATGTGTGGCTTGACCTAACTTACTCTGAGGAAATAATCATTTATTCAAAGTAAGAGTCCCAGGAAAACAACAGAGAAAGCACTTAGTTAATAAGGCACTCAAAATATTAGTTTCCTCCCTGTTTGCTACTTGGCATCTTAAAGTCTCAATTTTGTCTATAAATGGGAAAATAATGCCCATTTATATCAAAAGGTTTTATAAAAGAGTATTAAAGGTTTTACAAGTGATTTAATGGCTTTTGTATTTGGTTCACTCAAACAAAGTCATTTACTAGTTACATTAGTTTAAGAGAGCATTCAAGACTTATTATTTGTTTCAAGAATCTGAAAACACCAACTGACCTCATTGTAAGCTCTTGAGAGGGAAATAATTTATACAGAATGACTTCACTTCTTTAGGATACTAAATGTGTTACAATGCTTAGGAGCAGTTTTAAAGGCAGAGTAAGGAAGGGAAATCAGTCCTCAAGGACTTCAGCTAACAGATGGAAACGAGCAGCTGAGACAGTGTAAGTGCACGTGACATTTGCATACAGAAGAAACATTTCTAACACTGAAAGGAGGGGACAGGGTACTTGCCCAGCTGTCAGAAAACAAAACAAGACTAAGAGAATCTCCAAAGGCAGTGGTACATGTCTCTTGTTTCCTTAACTACTCAGAACATGGAAGCAGGAGGATTGCTTGGGCCCAATAATTCAAGATCAACCTGAGCTGCTCAAAGGTGGAAAAGTGTGGTGTGTGTTGATCTAGGGCAAGGAAACCCCCAATCATAAACAAACAAATACTAAAATGGTTATGTAAAAATGCATTCTTTCAAATCTATAGGAGTAAAATATGAATCCTAACATGAAATCCTAAAATATGAATCCTGGCAATCCTAACATCTGGGAGACACAGGCAGAAGGTCTGCAGTTCCAGTAGGGAAAAAGCCTAAAAAGTTTCCCACAGAGGACCAACTTGCAAAGCTGTTCCAGATATAGCTCTAGTACTTACCGCATTGGTTCTGCAACAAATCTGGCTGACAATGTCTTTCACACATATGTATTGTTGTTCATAACACACACTAATAAAATGGGTTTTTCTCTCCTGCAGTTTTGGGACATTAAACCCTGGACCTTCATTCTAAGCAAGTGCTGTACCACTGAGCTGCAATCCCAGTCTCTGCCCCCTTCTCCCTTTTCTGTGGTACTGGGTGATTAAACCGTAGAGCTTCAGGTAGGCTAGCAGGTGTTCTAACACGGGGCTAGCTATACCCCCAATATTGTTTTCAGAAGTTTTTACTTTGAGACAGACTCACCAAGTTACCGAAACTGTTCTTGAACTCATTTTGTAACCTAGTCTCTCCGAGTAGTGGGGATTTCAGATCTAAGTCTGGGGGTGACGGTAACACACATGACATCCAGTCTTTGCCTTTCTTTCTTTTCTTTTTTGAGATAGGGTCTTAATATGTAGTTCATGCTAGTTTTGAAATGGCCATCTTCTTGCCTCAGCTGCCCCAGTGGGATTACACATGTGTATCACCACTGCTGGGCAGGGAAGTAAATGAAAGCTTTGATTTCATAGCTGGAAAGATGGCTCAACGGCTAAGAGCACTTATCACACTTGCAGTATATCCAGATTCGGTTCCCAGAAGCTTTATGCAGGTTCACAATCATCTGTACCTCCAGTTCCAAGGATCCACAGCTCTTTTCTGCCCTCTAAAGGCACCAGGCGTGCATGTGGTACCTAGATTCGCATGCAGAAAACACACTCATTCTCTCTCTCTCTCTCTCTCTCTCTCTCTCTCTCTCTCTCTCTCTCACACACACACACACACACACACACACCTAAATATATAAATAAGTAAAAATGTATGCCATTTGGTCTCAATCCTTTTCTGCTGTTTTTATATGAACTGAATTTCCTTAAGCTTTAGAATGACTAGAGGTTCAGATTAATTTAGCTTTCTTTTGCAGTTTTTATTAAGTTTTAAAACATGGTAGCTTGACCAAAACAAACAAACAAACAAACAAAAGCAACAACAACAACAACAAAAAACAACCAAAGAGCCAGGCGGTGGTGACGCACGCCTTTAATCCCAGCACTAGGGAGGCAGAGGCAGGCAGATCTCTGTGAGTTCGAGGCCAGCCTGGGCTACAAGAGCTAGTTCCAGGACAGGCTCCAAAGCTACAGAGAAACCCTGTCTTGAACCTCCCCACCCCCCAAAAAACCCCACAACCCTCCCAAAAACACCAAAATACAAAAACAAACAAAAAACCATGGTAGCTTGTTTTGCAAGATTCCTTGACTCTAATTCTTCCTAACTTTCATCTGACCATCTTCTATTTCCACTGTCCCTTCCATGACAACATTTACTTTATTCTGTGACAACATTTTACTCTTAGCTGTTTCTCCCATGATGCTCACTTGGGAGGTCAGCTTTGCATGTATAGGTGGAATATTGCTTTTTCTTCTGATGACACTTCATTTCCCCCCACAAGACAGGGTTTCTCTGTGAAACAGCCCCGGCTCCCTGGAATTTGCTCCGTAGACCAGGTTGGCCAGGCATAGGTCAGAGATCTGCCTGCCTGTCTTCCAAGTGCTGGGATTAAAGGCATGAGCCACTATGGCCTTCCAGCTAGTCAGTCTTAAGAAAAACACTCCCCACTGGGAGGTGGTGGCGCACACCTTTAATCCCAGTACTCGGGAGATAGGGAGATAGAGGCAAGCAAATCTCTGTGAGTTCGAGACCAGCCTGGTCTATAAGAGCTAGTTCCAGAACAGGCTCCAAAGCTACAGAGAAACCCTGTCTTGAAAAACCAAAACCAAAACAAACAAACAAAAAAACCAACCAACCAACCAACCAACCAAAAAACCACCTCTCCACCCGCTTTACATACTGTTATCTAATTGGCTAGCATAGTCTTTTTTGAAACTAACAGGGTAAGTTTCTGGAGTTCTGCTCACAAGTTCATCAGCTATTTCTTCCTTTTTCCTCTTATAAGCCTGTCTGTCTAGAGTCTATTGACCATTTGTCATCATCTAGCAATATTTTGAACCAGTAACATGTGGATACTGTATCACATGACTTGTTATAATTGTTTTATAGACTTTAAACTTTGTAATCTAGTTTCTCTTTGTATTTTCATGTGAGGATTAAAAGACTGTGCTGATACCAATCCTCTCCCCGCTTCCCAAACCTATTCCTTCCATCCTGTCCCTCAGGTCTGCTCCTGCTCACCCTGCCACCCACACAGCAGGCCAGAGGTCAACTCTGGGGTTTTCCTTAACCGCTTCTTCACTTTATTTTTTCAGACAGACTCTCAGTGACTGTGAAGCCCACTAATTCAGTTGGACTAGCTGGCTAGAGAGCCCTTGGGATCCATCTGTCCCTCCTCTCCATTATCTAGCAATATTTTGAACCAGGAACATGGGGATACTGTATCACATGACTTGTTATAATTGTTTAATGGAGTCTCCAGAGCCGGTGTTACAGGTACCCTATGCCACTCCCAGTTTTTATGTGGGTGCTGGGGATCAGAACTTCGGTCCTTCTTCTTCAATCCCCCCTTTTAGGTGTCCTTTTAATAATAAAGTATTTGTGGAAGGCATTACTTTGATACACCAAGTCTCTATTTTATGTGTAAGGGTGCTTTGCCTGCATACATATCTGTGTTCCATGCTCTGGAAGTGCAGTTACAAACAGTTGTGGATGCTAGAATCAAATCCAAGTCCTCTTAACCAGAGCTCTCAGCGCTCTCTCTCTCTCTCTCTCTCTCTCTCTCTCTCTCTTTCTCTATTGGTTTTGAGTTAAGATCTCACTGTGTGCCTCTGGCTGGCCTTAAACTCAGAGATCTGCATTCTCTGCCTCCTGAGCACTTGGATTACAGATGTAGGACACCAGGCCCTGCTGATATACCAGGTCTTACTGCTCACTTATGCTGTAATTTTAAAGCAATCCTTACTTTTAATTTCAACCAAATATGAAACTTTCAGGAAATCCATCTGGCTGTCATAGTGCTGCTTTTAGTGACTGTATGGTTTTTGCAACGAAATTCCCCAGGATAGAGACTGCATGATTTTTTTGCTTTGTTTTTCGAGATAGGGTTTCTCTGTAGCTTTGGAGCCTGTCCTGGAACTAGCTCTTGTAGACCAGGCTGGCCTCGAACTCACAGAGATCCGCCTGTCTCTGCCTCCTGAGTGCTGGGATTAAAGGCGTGCGCCACCACTGCCTGACTGCACGATACTTTAACCAAATAAATGACTGTGGCCAAAGAGTACAGAATAAAAACATATTCAACATTTTAGATACTATCATATATTTATTGATCAAAGTTCCAGAAAAAGAAAAACAATTTAATTGTGTCATTTTTCACTCTTCTCCCAGGCAATAAATATCCTCTAAATCTAACTTAATCTATGTCTCAAATAAATGAAAGACAAGTTAGCACTTTGGAAATTTTTATAAGCTTTTTTTCATATGCCAAGTTTTATTAAAGCTTAACATCAAAAGAATTTTTTCCAGAGACTGGACTCTATCGTTATCCTTACAAGTACCTTAAACAAAACAAAAATCCCATATAATTGACAACTCTCAGTACTAATACAGTTATACTTATCACAAGTAATTCAATTAGCTATGCAAATTTCAAAAATGAGTTTTTATTTTGTAAACCAAAGTCATTATCAAAGTAATTAAGTGTGACATACTAAAGTATCATTCAAAGTCTAGTTTACCTATTAGAACATTTGGTTTCTCTCCTCTGTTATTTAAATATGTGAACATATTCCAATATATAGATATACAAATACACACTTTTAGAGCTCGCATAAATGCTGCTGTTGGGTCATTATACACTAACTATTGGTAATAATGTTTCGGGCTTTTTCTGCCATATCAAAGCTGCTAAGTACCAACCCCCGCGCCCCCCCCCTTTATCCCTGCGCTCCATCTAAACGTTTTGTTCCTCTAGACAAAAGGGGTCGGGGTGTGTACTATTTGAGAGCTAACAGGAGTATCAAAGATATCACATCAATCGGTCCAGGCTTTGGGGTTAAATGCAGCTCTTCACAGCTGGAGTACGAGGCAATTTCACCGCAGGGACGTTTGTTATTGTTTGCACACAGGTCTGTTGCTTTGCGTGGGAGAGACCCGGGAAAGCATCCCACTCAGCCTCGCAGCCTGTGGTGAAGCCAGTTGCGACTCCCAGGAGGACAGGGGGCTCCTAAAAGCCTCCTCACTAAGGGCTCCTTCGGAAGTCGCGGAAGGCTCTCCGGGGGAGTTCAGACCTGCCGCAAGCATCCAGCGCTGCCCCACGGATCGTACCTGCCTCTACCCGACGCGGCTCACTAGGAGGCCGCCAACCCTCGGTCCTTCCTCTCCTCCCCCTGTCCGGCTGCAGACCAGCACCGGAGGTAGCTGGTTGGCCCGGGTCCCACACAGCGCAGAGGCCCGCGGTCCCGCCTCTTGCACCGCGGCCTGTGCTCACCCACCTGATGCTCCTTCACCACTTCGCTGAGGCAGGGATACCGCTCCGAGATCCATCGGTAAAACTTGGGGACTCCCATTTTGACCGTCGACACTAATTCCAGTAGGTGCAGAAACGAAACCAAACGCCCCGCCCGGGCCTACGCCGCCGCCTCCGGCCGTCGCTCGGAGGATGACAACACAAGGTCCGCCAGACCATAGAGCAAGCCGCGGGCCTAGAGGGGCAGGACGGTGTCTGTGGGCGGGGCGTCCTGTCTACCTCGCTGCTGTTCTGTACTCGTTGGTGGCGGTACAAGAGGTGTGACTGCTGTGGTAAGCTCAATTTGAAAATACTGTTTGGTAGACGTGTGGACTTGCAAGTGGCATGAAAACAATTAAGGGACAGTTGGGAGTACTGGTTAGTTTTATGTCAACTTGACACATGGGAGAGTCACTGGGAAGAGGAACCTCAACTGAGAAAAATGCTGTCTCCAGATTGGCCTTTGGGAATATTTTGATTACTGATCGATGGAGGACCCAGCTCATTGTGGACTGGTGCCACCCTTGGTCCTGGGGTATATGAGAAAGCTGAGTGAGTGAACAAGCCAGAAAGCAGCGTTCCTTCGTGGTTTCGAGTCCTGCCGCACGGAATCGATATTAGACTGTGATGTGGAAGTGTAAGCAAAATAAACCCTTTCCTTCCCAAGTTGCTTTTGGCCATGTTTATTACAGCAATAGAAACCCTGAGTAAGAGAGGGTATTGGACATTGGATTTTGTATTGCGGCTTGCCCTTCTGGGATGGCTAAACTATTTTTCAACACGGACTGGAAAAGTTTCAGTTAGTTTGTGAGGGGAATTATTTTCTGAGTAATGTAAATCTGCACTAGAGCTTCTTTTAAGAGCAGTTTCCCAGCGTTTCAAGACTGGGTTACTCTGCTTATCCTCAATTGTTGATAACCTGTTTCAAAAAACAGAGAAACCACCACCAACAAAACAAAAACAAAGAGGCTGCTGTGACTCAGCACACCTATAAATCCCGGCACTTAGGCATACGAGGATCAGAGGTTAAAGGCCATCCTTAGGTACATAGCAAGTTCAAGGCGATCTTAGACAACGTGAAAGCCTATCTCAACCAAAAACTCAAAAAGCATGGTGTAGCTTGTAAGTCTTTATCTCAGCACTTGAAGGATGGAGGCAGATCAGGAGTTCAAGGTCTTCTTCACCTACACAAGTTCCAGACTTTTTCCTACATGACAATCTGTCGCAATCAAACAAACAAGATGAAACATCTCTGTATCTGTCTCTATCATTATGTGACTTTCATTACGGTAAGTACTTTGTAAAATTACTGAAGTCTTTCCTTTGGTTCTGCCTATCTTCCATGATTAGGATTTGGACAGCATCCATCTTTAGTCAAGAGAACCTTCTATATATGTGACTTCACTCTTCATGCAAGGACTGTTTAGAGAATATAGAAAAGACTCACTCTCGTGCACTTTCTCTTTTTCTTCCTTTCTTTCTTTCTTTTTCTTTTTCTTTCTTTCTTTTTTTTTTTTTTGGTTTTTTGAGACAGAGTTTCTCTGTGGCTTTGGAGCCTGTCCTGGAACTTGTTCTGTAGACTAGGCTGGCCTTGAACTCACAGAGATCCGCCTGCCTCTGCTTCCCAAGTGCTGGGATTAAAGGCGTGTGCCACCACTGCCCTCTTTTTTTCTTTTTGATTTTTTGAGACAGGGTTTCTCTGTGTAACCATCATGGCTGTCCTCAAACACACTGAGATCCGCCTGCCTCCACCTCCTGAGTGCTGGGATTAAAGACTTGTGCCACCATGGCCTGCCCACTTTCTCTCACACAATAAAATTGTTTTATTCTTTATTGATCCTTTGTAGCCCTGGCTGTCCTGGTACTCACTATGTAGATCAGGTTAATCTCAAACTCATAGAGATCTATCTGCCTCTAATTCCAAAGTACTGGGATCAAAGGTGTACACCATCAAACCCAGCTTGTTTTATTCTTAGAATGTTTCCAAATCTCATGACCTTCACACAGGTTACATTTGCAAAAAAAAATATGATTTTACTTTGGGAAATGAAAATTAGGTTGAATTATTTAGATAATAAAGCACTAAATATTGACTGACCTTCTAAGAAGTTAGACTGGCATTGTATTTAGCAACTGATCCTTAAAAAATATAGGAATGAATATAGAAAACATTTTTTCAGTAATGAAGAATGAAGTTATATATCATTTGCAAGAAAATGGATGCAAGTGTAGATCATTATATTAAGTGTATTAAGTCAGCCTGAGAAAGATTACATTTTCTTTCATTTATGGTTCCTAAATTTCATATAGCTACTTCAAATCATGTATATATGGGACATGAAAGCAGAAACAACACTGTTGAAGGGAACAAAAGAGACTGAGGCAGGGAACAGCAGGAAGTATGGGAGAAAGTTTTCAAAGTATATTATATATTTGTATGAAATGATCCTTATATAATCCATTACTGGTGTGGGAGAATTGTCTGTATTCTGTCAATCATATTTTAATAAAACGCTGATTGGCCAGGCAGGCAGTATAGATGGAAAAACCAGACAGGAAGTAGAGGTGATGCAATGAGAACAGGAGAATTCTGGGAATCAGGAAGGTTCCTCTGCGACTCCTGCACAGACCACCGAAGAGGCAGGATGTAAACTGCCAAGCTGAGAAAGGTACTGAGCCTGAGCCGTGTGGCTAATGTAGATAAGAATAATGGGTTAAGATAAGTCATAAGAACTAATAAGTAGCCTGACCTAATGGGCCAATCAGTTTATAATCTTATGGAGATTTCTGTGTGATTAATTTTCTTTGGGACTTGCCGGTTGTGGGGTGCCAGGCGGGACAGATATCCCAACAAGCTGGCCGTCATGTTACATATGGCGCCCACGTGGATAACCGAATCCACAGAACGCTTGGGAAAGAATAAAGTATGTTTTCTTGGTAGTAGCAATTTCTTGGGTCTGCTCTGCTTGCTAGAGGCAAGCAAGCACTCTCATCTAAGAGAGGCTTCCTGACTCAACTTTAGCTGCAAAACCTTGCAGCTCTTTTAAGAGGTCCTGCCACGAAAAACTTAAACGGTGTCGATGAAAAGCTGAACGCATGCTTTTCAGTTTTCAGCTGCAGCAGGAAAAAAAGCTGCACTGTTTTAAAATGCCGGCTTTCTGGATTGTCCTGCCAGGGCAAACTCTGACTCTTTCAGGCAGGCAGTCCGACTGAATGTGGTCTGTGAGCGGAATGTTGCAGCTTGCTTGCTGGCAGGGACCTTGAAACGCCATAGAGTTGTGGCAATAAAAATGGCTGCAGTTGCTACCTCAGCCATGAGGCTGGAAAGCTAAGGAATGCACTAATTCCAGCCGTAAAAGCCACAGTTTTAGTCCTCTCCTTAAAGACTCATGTGGTCAGAAAAAGGGACATATACAGTAAAGAGAGATTCAAAGACGAAGAAAACCTCTAAATGGTTTACAGTGTGTTAAAAATATATGTAGGCTAAAAGGTTAAAGTCATTAAAAATAAAAAAGAAAGAAAGGGAGATAGGGTGTGGTGGTACACACCTTTAATCCCAATGCCTGGGAGGCAGAGGCATATTGACCTCTGTGACTTCAAGGGACAGAGGTAGAGATTGACCTCTGTGACTTCAAGGTGTGGTAGCACACGCCTTTAATCCCAATGCCTGGGAGACAGAGACAGACAGATCTCTGTGAGTTCAAGGTGTGGTAGCATACACCTTTGAGCCCAGCACTGGGGAGGCAGAGACAGAGGAATCTCTGTGAGTTCAAGGACAGCCTGGTCTACAGAGTTATTCCAGGACAAAGATATACAGAGAACCTGTCTTGAAAAGTAAAAGTAAAAATAAAAGAAATAGATGTTGAAATAAAGCCGCATAAAGATGGAAAATACACAGAGAATCTTGATACTGTATGCTATTATGCTCTCTTTGAATTGTTTGAATGCTGAGGAAGGAGCAACAGCTGCTAAAAGACTTTTGTTTATAAATGCTGCTGAACTAACCCAAGATAGGAATTTTGAAAATACCTTGGCTTCAGAACTGAAGTCAGAAGGTATGGTACTTTGGAGAAGAGATTTTGCTTTTGTTTTCACAGAAAATGAGAGGCTGTGGATTCAATCTGAATCCACAGATTGAAGAACCTGAAGAAAAATCAGGTTCGAAAAAGGAAGACCACCTGAGAAATCTCCGATAGGAACAGATGGCCTGGATACAGAGTTCTACATCCAGAAAAGATTCAAGATGCTGCCTGAGATGATCAAGACTCACAGGATACTCCAGTCAGGACTTGATTACAACTCTAAATTTTCTTTAGGTCCCCATAAGATCATCAGCGCCCCCAACCAGCAGGAAGTAGCCTGAAATACTACGCCCACATTCCCAACAAATGGACTATGGGTATTTTCCTTTGTTTTTTTTTTTTTTTAAAAAAAAGAGGGAAATGGTGTGGGAGAATTGTCTGTATTCTGTCAATCATGTATTTTAATAAAACGCTGATTGGCCAGGCAGGAAGTATAGGCGGGTCAACCAGACAGGAAGTATAGGCGGGGCAATGAGAACAGGAGAGGAGAAGGCTAGGAAGGAGGAAGTCCCTCTGCCACTCCTGCGCAGATCACCGAAGAGGCAACATGTAACTTGCCCATCTAAGAAAGGTACGGAGCCATGTGGCTAATGTAGATAAGGATAATGGGTTAACATAAGTTATAAAAGTTAACAAGAAGCCTGACCTAATGAGCCAATCAGTTTATAACTTATGGAGTTCTCTGTGTGGTTGATTTTCTTTGTGACTTGCCGGCTGTGGGGTACCGGGTGGGACGGAAACCCCAACAAACCGGCCCCCTCGTGTTACACATTACTGTATGTAACAAATATCTGTACATCAGTACAAATTAACTAATTAGTTTAAACATGTCTATATGAATATGTAAAACTCTAGAATAACTCTGAAGCCATTTCTGACAACTCTGAGGCCTCTCAGCAGTAGTGCTCCCCCCTCCCCTGTGAACCAAGGACCTAACAACTTCACATGCACGTACTGGAATATTGAGGATTTTCCATCTCCCTGTGTCCTTGTGGATGTTCTCCAGAGAGAACTCAGTTATTGAAATTGGGGCAAGATAACACTTAGAGTTCTATATAGTAGTTTTTCATTTATCTGTAATAAATGTATTATTTTATTTTGCAAGTCTTTTCATTTTAATCTATAAGAAACTGTACAGAAAACAACTAAACACATTAAAAACCTTTAGATTTTAAAATCTTAAGAGAATTTTAAGTATTGTGTTTTCCATCGCTACTGTACTATGTATTGAGCTGTGGCTCAATGGTAGAACATATACCTAGCATGGTTCAATCTTCAGTATCACCAAAATAATTCCATAGCTGATTTATTTTTCACATTCATGTTTCCTGAGTCTCTCTCTTGATTACATTTTGCTGTACACTAAAAGCTTTATGAAGTGAATTTAATGATGTGCTATCATTCCCTATAGGGCCGGTCTAGTCTAGTTCCTGCCTACAACATAAAGTCAATATAACTTGCTGCTGTTCAAATGAAACCTTATGCTAACATTTTGAAAAGGAAATTTATAAAAACTACAAAATGAAATTAGGCTGGCTGGTTCCTTCCAGTTACATTGTTTTTTGATCATGAGAATACAATGTTCTATCTCTCTAGGTGAAATACACAAGTATGTACTAACAAAGCAGTGTTTAAGAACTGAATCCATAATTGTTAATACAATCACAGAGAAATACTAGTTTCTCTAAGAATATAAGTAAATGTGTGTTGTACTGTAGACTTAAAGATATACCTCTGATTAATAACACAAGAATTTTAGATTATTAATATAGTCTTTGAAATAATTTTATTTTACATATATGGGGTCCAACCAAGGTACATCTGACATAGCAAGTTTTCATCAGTAGCTTCTTGTATGAGGTAATGCACATGTCCTTCAATAGATAATGGCAACCCTGTTACTCTATTTTGGGTCTTGATTACACCTTGTAGTCGTTGTTCAATGTCAAGAACATGGGTTTTGGCCTAAAAAAATACAGAAAGTCATTAAGGCTACAGACCCAATAACAAGTACCGTTGTTAGTAATTTGGAGCTTCTACTTTTCTCACTACTTAATGTTAGCACCGTTTAACAAAACAATATCCCATTCGTAGCAATGAAACAAATCCAGTTAATTTGAGATGCTGGCTTTGATGTTTACAATGATTGACATCTGCTAATGGACATGTTTCTATACTATAAAAATTACCAGGTAAGTCTGCACATT